AGGGTGGGGGGGGGATTCCGTAAGTCAATAATTCATAAGTTTTAAATTGCCGCCTTTCTGAGTAGCATGATGAGTGGCATGCTGAGTAGCTGAGTAGCATGATGACATCTCAAGCCCTCTTGAGCCGTCCTGCTCTGTCCACCCACGACGTGAATCGTCCCTTTGTCCAGCGGATCCACACTGCATCGCTACCAGCCCTTAGTGACTTAGTAGCCAACTCACCTATCATATCAACTGCCGTGCTGTCGCAGCACTTGTGTTCAAGTTACCCTTGTTTTATGTAACACTGGCCCCAAAGCGCCAGAGCAGCGATGCTGGCGGTTCAGGTGTCCCAAAGAGAAGCCATAAAGTGCTTCCTTTAAGTGAAAAGGTGCAAGTTCTCCACTGAATGAGGAAAGAAAAAAAATCCTATGCTGAGTGAGGTTGCTAAGACCTACAGTAACTTTTATTACAGTATATTGTTATAATTGTTCTATTTTATTATTAGTTATTGTTGTTCATCTCTTACTGTGCTGAATTCATAAATTAAACTTTATCGTAGGTATGTATGTATAGGAAAAACATAGTACATATATGGTTCAGTAGGATTTGTGGGTTCAGGCACTCTCAAGGGTCTTGAAACCATCCCCCCAGTGGGTAAGGGGGAACTACTTATACACCAACCTTGCACCCTTGGAAGCATTTTTTTTTTTTTTGTGAGGAAGATCAGCCCTGAGCTAACATCTATGCTAATCCTCCTCTTTTTGCTGAGGAAGACCGACTCTGAGCTAACATCTATTGCCAATCCTCTTCCTTTTTTTCCCCCAAAGCCCCAGTAGATAGTTGTATGTCATAGTTGCACATCCTTCTAGTTGCTGTATGTAGGAGGCGGCCTCAGCATGGCTGGAGAAGCAGTGCGTCGGTGCACGCCCGGGATCCGAACCTGGGCCGCCAGTAGCGGAGTGCCAGCACTTAACCGCTAAGCCACGGGCCGGCCCGGAAGCATTTTTTTAATAGACTAGATGAAGGCTACATGAGACCTCCCCGTACAATTTTTGCAACTTCCTGTGAATCTATAATTATTTCAAAATAAAAGAACAAAACTCTACCCAGGTGATTCCAAGAACCAATGATGAAGGGCAGTGGTTTGCAGATCTTAGTATGTGTTAGAATCACCTGCAGGGCTTGTTAAACCGGAGCCCTGGACCCCATCCCCAGAGTTTCTGATTCAGTAGGTTTGGGTTAGGGCCTGAGAATCTGAATTCTAACAAGTACCCCAGTTATGTGGATGCAGCTGGTTGGGGGGGGGGCGCGGCCACACCTAGACAGGTGGGAGTGATTGAATGGTTTATCCTACGTGACCCGCTCATCCTCCTCCTAAACCCTAACTATATCTTCTGAGAGACTCTAGAGGCGTAGAGAACACAGTGGTGAGGGAAGCAGACCTCTCTAAACACACGGCCATGTCCATCCTCTTCAGGCTGGAGGTGGAGGTGGGCCATCAAGCCATTGAAATAGATTCACTGATTTCAATGAGAGGATGGGGATCTGGAGTGACAAGTCCCGTAGCAGTCACTACAATTACTACAAGGGACAATCAGAAAAGTCTGACCTGGCAGAGCGAGGCACAACTCTGGATCACCTGGAGTCTACCTGGGCCACTCTCCAGACCAAGCAGATCCTTATCTCTGGGCGTGGCCCCAAAGCATGGGTGGTTTGTTTTTTTTAACTTTCCAGTTGGTTTAACATGCAGCCAAATTGGAAAGTGGAGCTATAAAGAAACTTTGAGTGTGGTTAATTGATCTCAGAGGCCCCACGATTAAAAGAAATGAACAAATTGTATCATCAGAACATTTTCTAGGGGGCCAGCCCAGTGGCGCAAGCGGTTAAGTGCGTGTGCTCCGCTGCCGTGGCCGGGGGTTTGCCGCTTCAGATCCTGGGCGTGCACCGACGCACCGCTTGTCAGGCCATGCTGTGGCGGCATCCCATACAAAGTAGAGGAAGATGGGCACGGATGTTAGCCCAGGACCAGTCTTCCTCAGCAAAAAAAGAGGAGGATTGGCAGATGTTAGCTCAGGGCTGATCTTCCTCACAAAAAAAAAAAAAAAACATTTTCTAGATTGGGTGAAGGAAGTTGAACTAAATTACCAAGACGGAGAATCACCTCCCACTCAGCCCCAAGTCTGCTCAGCCTGGAGTCTTCGGATGAAAAGGGAGTCCACATACACTGGATTAGGGACCTGAGCCTGCCTCAGGGAATTCCTAAAGCCTTCTCCTAAAAAGGCCTGAGGGTTTTGTAAATGGACCTTCCCCCAAGGGAAGTGACATACCCAGAACTTTGAAGATGACTGGCCCCTGCCTGCCAGCGAAACCCACTGTTCTCAAGGTGTCCCAAGATGAGAAGCACCAGTATCCCCTGGGAACTTGTTAAAAATGCAGATTCTTCTCAAAAAGGAAAATCTGAGAAACCATCACCACCAAGAAGAGCCTAAGGAGGCATGACAACTAAACTCACTGTGGTCTCCTGGACAGGATCCCGGAACAGAACATTATGTGAAAACCAAGGAAATCTCAATAAAGTCCGGCACCTTAGTTAATTTCAACGTATCAAATTAGTTCTTCAGTTGTGACAAATGTACCATATTAACGTACGAGGTTAATAATAGGAAAAACGTTGTGGGACATATGGGAATCCTATGGACTTTAGAAAACTATTCTAAAACTCACTTTATCTTAAAAATGCAGATTCTCAGGTCCCACCCCAGAGCTACTAAATCAGAAACTGAGTGTGGGCCCAGGCACCTGTGGTTTAACAAAGGCTTCAGGGGATGCGGATGGAACTAAATTAAGAATAATTAGCAGCTCGGAATGCCTCTGTGGTCCATTGGTCAAAGGGGGAATTTATGGGTTGTCAAATTTAGCAAATAAAAATGCAGGATGCCAGCAGAAGGGATGAAAAGGCAGAGCAGAGGATTTTTAGGGCAGTGAAACTACTCTGTGTGATACTATAAGGACGGATACATGTCACTGTACACTTGTCCAAACCCATGGAATGTTCAAGAGTGAACCCTAATGTAACCTATAGGCTTTGGACAATAATGAGGTGTCAACATAGGTCATCAATTGTAGCAAATGTACCACTCTGGTGGGGGATGTGGATAGTCAGGAAGGCTGTGCATGGGTGGGAGCAGGGGATTTATGGGAAATCTCTGTAGTTGCTGCTCAATTTTGCTGTGAACGTAAAACTGCTCTAAAAAATAAAGTCTGTTTTAAAAAAACACAAAATGCACCGTGAAATTTGAATTTCAGATAAGCAACAAATTCAGAACATATTTATACTTAAAAAATTTGTCTGAAATTCAAATTTCACTGGGTATCCCGTATTTAATGTGGCCACCCTACTTGGATCACCCTATTTTATAAAGAAATAATGGATAACAGCAGGACAATCAGCAGCCTCAGTTTAATTATTCAGTTTAATTAATTACGAAGTACTATTAAGAACTAACAAGACTTGCATGCATTGAAGAAAAGCAACATAAACCAAAAAACCTACAAGGAAGAAAACAATAGGACATAATGAAACAAAACCAAAACCAATAGGGAAGATAAATAATTACTCAAAGATCTTCATAATTAATATTTACGGAACCCCCATTGTGTTCCAGAAACCTTGTAAGTGCTTAACACGTCACACCATCATTTTTATAACACAGGTGACAGATCACCGTTAATTTCCTTCTTGGGAGTCATTTTTGAATGTGTTTTTTGGTGGCGTTTAAAAGTCCCCAGCTGACGGAAGGCATGGTGACACTGGTGACACATATAGGGTTTGAGTCCAGAGTGGGTGCGTCGGTGAACGTTGAGATTCCCCCTGTGGCTGAAAGCTTTCTCACAATCTTCACATTGGTAAGGCTTTTCCTTGGTGTGGACCTTCTCGTGGCTACGCAGGGTGGAGTCGTGAGTGAACTTCTTGAGACAGAGCCTACAGCAGTATGGCTTCTCGCCTGTGTGGATTCGCTGGTGAACTCGGAGGTCTGAAGACTGCATGAAACCCTTGGGACAGATATTGCATCTGAAGGGTCTCTCGCCTGTGTGTGTCCTCTGGTGAATGTCGAACTGAGATTTATAATGAAATCTCTTCTTGCATACCCTACATTCGTAGGGTGTCCATCCCGTGGCTTCTTTGCCAACAGGAAGACCGGTTGATCCCACAGCGCTTGGTGAATGAACTGAATTTGACCCAAGTTGTCCTGAGAATTCTCTTTTGTCCAAATATGAGGCTCCTTCTGGAGGCACTTCTTGGCAAATGGAGGCGTTGTCCTGTTTTCTTCTTTTGGAGCTTCTTGGACTCTTCCAAGAATCTCTTCTGTTCCTACTCGGAGTTGACACTTCTCTCTCCGAAATGTGGGTGGAAGGTATGTCAGCATCCACATTGTTAACAGAAGTTTCTTCTCGGGGATTCTTCCCACCCTTTGCCCTCACACAATCTGCTGAAAGAGGAGATTCAACACACAACATTGAATAAAGAGCATTTTCAATGATACCAAACTCATTCGAACCAAACAATTATGTTGGCTGAGAATGTCCCATCCATCCACACACCTGAGAGATTGGATTGTAGGACACTCTGGAAAGTCAGTGAAGGAGAAGGCTTGCCACTTGAGAGCCACCCCCCGCCACCCTCCCCCGAGAGATACTAATGCTGAATACCCAGCCTTGTACCCAGCATAGGAAGAGTCACCAACTCCTCTGAATTCCCAGTTTCCATACTCACCAGGACCCTCCAGAAGCTGAGGGTCTTTAGATTTATGTACTTTTGTCTCTTCCTTGTCTTCCATCAGGTCGTTCTCCAAGTTCTGCTTGGGTCTCAGACCCTCCAGTTCACCTACTTCAAGAGCGGTCTCTGGCAGGAGAACTTTCTGTCCCTGACAATGGGCAACCAAGTGTAGTTACTAAGGGGTCTAAATTGGGGAAAGCTCTGTCTGTTCTTTCCCCATCTCCCTGGTCTGAGACACCACCTTTTCTACCCATCTCCCTGGTCTGAGACACTAACTTTCCTAATAACATACTTTTATGGATATGCCCAGACTTCTTTTGGGCCACCCCATCGCCACTTAATAGTCATTACTTAATTTCCAAGTCTGTCATTAATCACCACACCTTCAAATCAAGTGTATACATGACAGTTCTTACTCTTAATTCTCTAAGCCTACCTCTCCAAGTCATCCCAACGTCTCCCTGACCCTGACTCTGGAAGCAAAATAGTCCAGGTCTCCTAACTCAGCACTACTGATATTTTGGCTGGAGGATTCTTTGTTGTGGGGGCTGTCCTGTGCATCGCAGGATGCCCAGCATCCCTGGTCTCTGCTCACTAGATGTCAACAGCATCCCCCACTCCCACCCCATTTTGACAACCAAAAATGTCTCCAGACATTTGCAAATGTCTTCTGGGAGGCGAAATGAGAACCGTTTGAGTTCTCATTGAGAACCACCCCTTTAAGGAATTGACAATATTCTGAAAACCTTAGCCAATTATCATTTCATGGAATGCCTTTCAGGAAATTGGGTATGGAGAAATTAGCTTTCAGTTCATTAACCTGTGGCAAACTGACCTAGCACCAATTCATTAAGACTATTTCTTTCTCCCTACCCTTAACACTAAAAGATTTAATGGTGGAGGGACAGGTTGAGTCTTCATTCTCCACACGGGCTCAGCAATGTCTAGGGACTTAATGCATCCATGGGCATTCCTAGGGTAAATGGGTCCAGGTCTGTTCTATGCCAAATATCCAATTATTCTAGCAGCTAAGCCTACTGCTTCCTCTTGTACCTTCTCCCACTTCCCCACGGAGAACATCACACACTCACCTGCGCCCTTGAGATTTCATTGATTCCTGGCGGGTTCCCCAGCTCTTGGCTGACCTTCTGGCTGTTCTCTGGATATATCTCACTCACAGAGGTTTGGGGCTTCCTGGACAAGCCTCTCACATCGTCCATGTCACTGACCTCAGCTTCAGCCATCTGAGCATCTGAATTTTGCACAAGAAATTTCTGTCCTTGTAAGCTGACTACCGTCTGTGGGGAAAAAAATAAAACAAGATCAGACTTGATCTAAGAACCGAAATGTAGCTGTCATACTCCCTGCACGCATCCCACTGTACACTTACACTTGGCTGGAATTACTTGCTTAAAATAGCAACCTCCCAAGTTGTGACAACCAAAAAATGTCTCCAAACATCGCCAACTTGCACCCTGGAGGGTGAAGGTGGACTCACCCTACCCCCTTGCATTGGACAACTACTGGCCTAGATCAAGATTAGGTTGTATCACCTCTGAATTGTCATTATTATATCTCTCTGATTTGAGTCTGGCCACAATATCTAATCCATCTGAATACCATCCCCCGGCCATTTCTTCCTGCCTCCTCAGGTAATAATCATCCCTCAAACTGCGTCATCCTAATACATACTTTGTCCACTCCTGATCTAGGAACATGAGACGTGTCATGATGAAAAATCCAACACCTCGCCAAAGGGATCCTTCAAATGTGTGGCTTTTCCATCTCACTCAAATGGGCCTGAAGAATTCCTTTATCATCCCAGATTAACATTTTACAGTTCCCCATAGCTTTTTTTCCACAATGTTTTCAAAGCTTATACTTCCCACCCTTCACCCCTAGAGGATCTTGTCACCTACCACAGAGTGCAGGGGGAAAGGAAGGCTGCCACATTGGACTATCTCGTTTCCATCCTGTCCACTTACAAAATTACGTATAAATGAACCTATTTCCCCATGACTGGGGCAAACTGTGCACATGTGCTACACCAGGTCCCATCTCCTCCTAGATCCTTTTGAGGCTTCCTTTTTCCCCTTCCCCTTCCTTAACTCTTTCTCCAAAGCATGTGGGCACACTCAAACTGCCATGATGAAAAGTGTTTCCATTGAAATCTCACCTAATCCAGTGGTTCTTACCTGGGAGCCATTGTGACCCTATGGGACATTTGGCAATGACTGGAGATTTTTGGGGTTTGATTTTCACAACTGAGGGAGGCTGCCATTGGCATCTAGTGGGTGGAGACCAGGGACACTGCTAAACCTCCTACGATGCCCGGGATGACCCCACAACAAAGAATGATCTATCCCCAAATATCACACTGTCAGTTCGAGAAACCCTGATGTTGAGCAGCAACTCTGGCCTCTACCCTCCGGATGCTGGTAGCATCCCCTCTCCCGCCCCCCTCCTCCCAGTTGTGACAGTCAAAAATGTCTCTAGACATTGCCAAGTGTCCCCTGAGGGGCAAACTCTCTCCCATTTGAGAACCACCTTCTAGTCCAACTCCACCTTGTAGCCCCCGTACGAGCTCTCTGTTTCCCACACCAATCATGAAGGTCCTACTCACCCATTTCTTGGGTTTCACGCTATTTCTTAGCATGTTCTCCAGGTCTTTGCAACTCTCCACACCACTCTCCTTAACTAAGACCTGGAGCTCCTGCGGCATTGAGATCATAAACTGCTCCATCACCAGCTTATCCAGAATCTGCTCCTTGGTGTGAAGATCTGGCCTCAGCCACAGACGGCAGAGTCCATAGAGTCTCCTCAGATCCTTGACGGGGTCTGATTCCTCCGAGCTTGTAAACGCTCTAAAGCTGACGTGCCAAGCCTCAGAGCTACAGTCCCGCTTTTCAGTAAGGGTTCCTTGGGACGGTAGAGACGGAGGCAGCTCCGATCCCCAAGGGCTATCTTGGGATTTTCCACGACCCCTTGAAAATGTCTGGTCCATAGCCATATTTACTGGAGAATTTTCCAGTATGACTCTGAGCAAACTCTTTTAGAAGCCGGTACCTAATTGAGATCTATCTAAAGAGATTTATTCTGGTTTTCCTCAGTAAGAGATTCACTGTTTGTTTAGAAGTCTGGAGGGAGAAAAAAAAGAATGAACCAGATTAGTTTAATTTCTTACTCCACCCTTCCCTCCCCCTAAATCCCTCATCCCAGTTTTAGGTACCATCCTTCACTGGTTCCATATTTAATACCATGGAAATTAATCCATACTATTATTCTTCCAACATCCACCTTTATAGTAAAAGGTGGTTTAAATGTCTGAATGCCCCCCTAGATTCTGAGCTCCAAATGTACAGAGGTGGTATCAATTTTCTCATCTGTAAAATAGGACATTGTTCTTTACTGTAAATTAAATATGCTAACTATGTGTAAAGTCCCTAAAATCTATTTTAACGATAATGTCAGTTTTTCTATCTTCCCATCAAGACAAAATACAAGGAGAAGCTGTGTTAGTCATGAATCTGCAGAAAAATATTTACAGCCTGAGAATTCCATGTGGTGTAGTAACATTGGGAATAGTAGCCTAAGACTGTCCCCCAACACACTTCCTTGTTGATCCCAGGATATTGATTTGTTCCAGGGAAGGGAGGGCACAAAAGAATTCTAATAGAATTCAGCTCCTGAACAGACAGTTTGTTATTGTGGTAAAATACATGTAACGTAAAATTCACCATCTAACTCTTTTAAAGTGTATAATTTCATGGCACTAACTACATTTGCAATGTTGTATAACCGTCACCACTGTCTGGTTCCAGAACTTTTTCATCACCCCCAAAGGAAACCCCAGGTGCCGGCCCCATGGTATATCGGTTAAGTGGGTGTGCTCCACTGCTGGCAGCCCAGGGTTCGGATCCTGGGCGTGCACCAATGCACCGCTTATCAGGCCATGCTGTGGCAGCGTGCCACATAAAGTGGAGGAAGATGGGCACGGATGTTAGCTCAGGGCTGATCTTCCTCACAAAAAAATAAATAAACAAAATAAAGTTTGTAAAAAAAAAATTAAAAAAAAAAAAAAAGGAAACCCCATACCCATTAAGCAGTCACTCCCCATTCTCCAGCCACCTCCACCCCCCAGCCCTGGGCAATCCTTTCATCTACTATCCGTTGCTGTCGGTTACATATAATTAATCTCATCCCTGAAAATGGATTTAAAAATTCCGTGCTCTTGGAAATTTGCAGGAAGCTTTTAAGAGAAATGTTTTTAGGAGATCCCATACCTAGTTTCCAAAGGCAAGAGCCACTTTATTATAGTCTCCAGATATCAATTTTATTCCAAGTACAACAGCTTTGAAAAGAATACAGCCCAGCTTTCTTTCTAGCCACAGGCTGGGAGTCAACCTGAAGGTGTGGAGAGAAGAGAAAGAACTGGGAGGGAGGGTCTCGGGCCAGGTTGCTGGAGAGCCAAGAGGATGGAGACCCTAGGAGAGGTGGGGGTTCCCAGGGCTTCCTGTGTCCAGACGGGGGGAAAGCATGGAGATGTGAGAAAAGACAGCCTGAAATCCTCAGACTAAAAAGCGGTTTCATGTTACTGGAAATCTGGGATGAGGCAGGGATTCCACTGGTAATTTTTAATCACTTTGGGTTCCTTTCAACTTAAAGCAAGCCACGTAATCTCAAAAGAAAAATAAAAGCAGGGACACATTTTAGTCTTCAATCCCCGGGGACTTAGCACGCCAGTGAGAGCCACAGGGCACCCAGGCAGAAAGATGGGCTCTGATCCTCTGGACTAGTAGGCTGATCAGGTCCTTAATTAAAGGTTTGTTTGACCCCGTGGATAGTAAAAATGCAGTGACACTTTTTAAGCAATGTATGACATGGGTAGAAATCTCCTCGGAAAATCACGTCCCGTGCAGAAGAATTCAAAGGTAACTCATCTGTCTAAAATCCACAATGGTCAAATTTTTCATATTTCAGATCATTTGGGGAAGCTTGCTTCAGCTCAGTGTTGTTTTAATTCCATGCTCCAGCTTTAATTAGCTGTGGTGTCTTGAGCAAATCATTTAGCAATTCAGACACCTTAAAACCTACCTCTTAGATTGAAGATAAAGTAAGATGGTGCTGATATGCCTGGCACATTGTTGTTGGTTGTAGTGATTAATACTTAAAGCAATGGCTCTGAACCAGGCGTGACTCTTGCCCCCCACCCCCACCCCGGGGACATCTGGCGGTGTCTGGAGACATTTTTGGTTGTCACATCCGGGGCATAGAGGAGGGAGGGGACAGGGGAGCGAGATGCTACCAAATAGCCTACAATGCACAGGACAGCAACACCCCCCCCCACCCCCGCCAAAAAAAAAAAAAACCACAAAAAGTTATCTGGCCAGAAATGTCAATAGTGCCTCGGCTGAGGAACCCTGGGTTTAAACTCTATACCACACCACACCATGGGTGTACTGACATGATTCCCATTTCACAGATGAGTTTAACAAGGAATCAATGTTAATAACGGGGCAGGAGGGGGATCCGTGGCTTTCACGGGATCTAGGAGCTAATGCAGGGCGAACATAAACCCAAATCTTTCTGAAACCAGCCTCCACTCGTCCTAATTTCCAAGCGCCCTCCAAAGACATGCCCAACATTACTTACCTCCTGGCGGCTGAACGGGCTGCGACCCTCTGGGCCCTAAGAGCGAATGTCTCTGCTTATATAGAGCCGGAGGAACGCCACGCCTCTCCTCCTGCTGCCCCGTCAGCCCGATGATTGGTTTAAGGCCACCGAATAAACCATTTTAGACAATCCGCGTGGATTACACTTCCGTCGGAAACTCCACCAAGAGAAAAAGTAATTTACAAGTGGAAATAAATCCACATTGGAAACAATGTTGGTTTTTCCGGTCTAGTGAATTAATTTATCTTGTGCCTGAAATGTGCAGACGCGTCAGGGATTATAGATCCACCAAATTTTAACCAGTTTGGGTCATCTATTCATTTTTTTTTTTTTACGTAAACGAGTCTGCAAAGATTTTATTTAAAATAAGCTGACAAGGCAAAGTGTCAGGAGACTACATTTCTGAGTGGGCGTTTAGACAACCAGAGGTCTTACACAAGTAGAGAAAAAGAACGACGTCATATCAATTTTGCAAGCCGTATTTCTCCTAAATTTCAAAAGCAACAATATCTTAACAAGGAAGGAACTCGGGCTGATATCAAATCAGTGATTTGATCTAGCTCCAGCAAAGCTTTAATTCATTAATTCCCAGATATTGAAAAATGAAAAGTAATTATTGCTGCATAAGTAATATTAGTGATTTTTTTAAACTTTTTTTTTTTTTTACTATTTTTCAATATCTTGGAATTAATATGTTAAAGCTTTGCTCAAACTAGATTAAACCACGGATTTGATATTAGTCAACTTACTCTTTTATAAAAACAATGGAAACTAGAGACAAGCATATGGACACCACTCTTCGTTCCGTTCCTCCTCGGGATGGGGAAGATAGTTTATCGGTAGACCGAGGCTCTTACGTGGAACTTGGTTCTTGATACCCTGAATTAGATCTTATAAATTCTTAAAAGCTAGAATGATGGGTCTGCAGGTTATTGCGTGAATCATTGTGTTTATGTTGAATTTTAATGAGGGGTTGGGCGTGATTAGATTACCATTTTGGAAGTTCCCACTGTCAATCGAATCATAACAGATCTATTCCAATGGTGACCTATTTGTTGTAGGTTCAGAGTAAACTTTTTTGTTTAACATTTCTGATGAATTGGAGGGCTGTTGGCTTTAGACTGATTCTGGTTTGAATCCGTGGGGAATCTTAACCCTATGAACTTCAAACTCCTTGTGAGTAGAATGGGGGGTTTATTCACTGCCTCATGTGTGGTTTTGAAAAGTAAAGGAAGACTACGGTAGGAAAGTACCTGATACATGGTTGTTTTGCCCAAAATTGTGGTGATTATTTTCTGACATTTTTCCCTCTTAACAATTGAGGTTCTGACAACGAGTTAGAGTGAATAATGGTGAAGCCCAGAATTAACCGAATCTGCCTGAAACCACCATCGACCTATGGGACTTGCCCAAATCCTCCACTCTGGAAATTCATCTCATTCTTGTTCTGGCCTTCAAATTTTTTTAGACTTTATTTTTTCAGAGCAGTTTTAGGTTCACAGCACAATTGCCTTCATTATTTTGATCTTAGATCTGCTATAAATTCTCAGTGGAGCTAAAAATGTCTGATTTAGAAAGGTCTGAGAAACTCCCAGCTCCCGTTTTATTTCAACATAAATCATTCACACGCTCTCGGATTAAGGATTAGATTTGGAAGTATCAATTATTTGACCTGAGCATTATTTTAATTATATGACCAGATCCCTACCCAGAAAAAATACCCTCATTAAAATGCCTGGATAGCAGATCTATCCCTGGAAATGTTGATCTGTTTGCTTATCTTTCTCACCCAGGATCCCTTGTCTCTGCTCTGGTCATCCAAGTAAGGTCTGCTCTTTAGTTAATAGTTCTGTGCCATGACATCTGGCATCGACTTAGGGGCGGGGAGAAACTCAAAGGTGGGTTTGGAAGCAATTAACTGTTTTTTACAAGTTGTTTCTTTTCCTTTGTATGTTAAGGAGATGTAACCACCAACCATCCTGAAACTGACCAAGCCTCCCCACAAGAGCTACGCCCACGACCTTTGCCTTATTTGTAATGCAAAGTTCTCTCCAGGAGGAGCTTAGGCCTCATTCTGTGAAGGGGTGTTCTCCAACTGAGCCTGTGCAAGCGAATACCCACCTCTCCCTTTTGAATATTCATTCCCCAACGAAATAAAAGTTCCTGCTTCCCTTTGTTTGTTGGGGACTTTGGAAATGATTCTTCATGGCCTCCTATTTGCTGCAAATACACTTTACTTTGTGAGACAACTTCCACTGGTGTAGAGTCTTATTTAACTCACCAGGAGGTGAGCCCGCTTTGTTCAGTAACACACCTTCCTGGTTTCCATCATTTTAC